ATTAATTAATTCATAAGCAGCACATAAACATCTCAAAAGAGAGAAAGAGGAACAAGCAATCAGAAGCTTGATTGTCAATTCCATTACATTTCTGTTGCAGGTGTAGCGAGCAGGAGAAACAATCCTCCAGTCAGATGAGGGATGGGTACTGGGTACTGGGGTGCTAAACACTAAGTGTCTGGGTATTGTTCCCTCCTCCATGGACATGGGTATCGGACAGCTTTGTAGTAGACGGACATGATCCACAATACCTAAATAGGGTCGTTCACAATAACCCTTTTTCTCCTTTTTGATGTTCCCATCAAAATTCATTGAGGTTTTTTTTTCCTTTTCCACTTAGAGGTGTAAGAAGGATCCAGATCCAAAAAAATCAGGTTCCCATGTTCAAAGTTTGATGAAAACCAGAAAAAAATGAGGGATAAATGGAACAAAAATGAGTTATTGTGAATGGGTGAGCAAGGGTATTTTGAAAAAGGGGAGAGAAAGAGAACCTTCCGGAACTTATATTTCACCTAGAATATTTGGAGGGCTATGGGGTCTGTTCAGGGTACATTTGAGGTGTTGGAAGGAGATAACCTAACAAGAACTGGAGAAAGGAATCACTGCAAAAAAGGGCCCTTTTTGAAAAGACCACATGTAGAGCTTTTTGATCCCTTCTCTTCGGTCCCTCTTGTGAAAAAGGGAGTAAAAAGGAGTGCAAAAAGGGAGCAAAAAGGCCTATTGCGAAAAACCCTAATGACAGTGACAGTGATCCAACGCCAGGCAGCCAGAACAAATCAAAGGATAAAAGTAACAAAATGCCCCGGACTCTTCATTGCAAGCTACTGGAGATCATGTGGGCCCCAGGGAATCCCAGTTGAGGGTAGTACCAGAGAAGAGAGAGAATATAGTTTGACGTGATTATTTCTGAGATCAAATGGTCTTGAAAAATAAGCTGATGAGATATTGTAGCTACCCCAGCGTCTGGACAAGTTGGTGTCAATTTTTAGATGTAATAATTAGCTAAAAAAAAAGACCAACCGAAAAAAGGAATCCAATCATCAGGTTCGAACCAACGCCTGTGGCATTCGCCGATAGCACAGCCACTATGCAGTCACAAAAATTCTAATGGAGTCTCTGAGAAACCTTTCAACACAGCCACTATTTTCCTTGTACTATAAAATTGTAACTGATAATTCACTCAGCTAGTGAAACGGCCATGTAAACTTTAGAAAAGAACGAGAACTTATTACATAAGTACTCATAACCATTCCGGTGTGCCGATCCGATTTCAGCGACCCGTGCCTCTTCCTCCCAGCCGAACGCGTCCCGCACTCGGGTTCAGCGCCGGGCTTGGAAATGACGCTGGACCGAATGATATACATACGAGAACTTCCCCCTACAAATTTCGGGATTCGGAGCATCATGGAGAGCAGAGAGTTGGCAGAGAGTTCATACCAAGTGAGACGAGAATTTCAAGAGTTCCCTGCAACGAAATTCACAGAAATTGAGTGAGCGGCGAGGTCCTCGATTCGCAGCAACTGCGAACGACAAACAAGCTAGAGTGGAGAATACAGAGCATCGGACGCAGGGATGATTTCTTGCGCCGGTGAAGAAGTAGGTGAGCGACCTAGCTTCGCGTCCACTTGGCATCCCCGGTCGATGTGTCACGATGCCGGGAGAATGTACACCATGGTGCTTTGTGCCATTAATCCCTAAATACGATTCCTATTCTTGAAGCATTTTCTTCGAAATATATCACAAGTTTGCAGAATGCTTAAAGAATGTTTCCCAAGTTTATATGATGCGCAGGTGGTTTCACGGCGGACACTCAAATGCTTTGAAGGTGTGGGGGGTTAAACTCTGCTGAGTCCTCCGCTGCTAACTGGGCACTTAAGTAATGCATATGCAGATAAGGACAGTGTTATTACTATGGAGTATAAGTCGGACCGGAATTCCTATTCAAATCTGAAACACGCCCAGGCCGCTCATTTCACTTTGTTCGAGTACCCCCTTTGATGCTGCCACCGGCATCAATGGCCTCGATGCAGTCTTGAGTCGATTGGTACAACTCCGATCAAATCGAATAAGTTTAAGTTGACGTTGCCGCCATTCGGCTCCCAAATGTTTTGGGCCGCCGGGGAGCGGAGCAAGGAGCGGCGGGTCCACTATGGGTGCGGTAGATGTGGGAACGTAACCCTGGGGCGGCGGCATTTTTTTTGGACTAGAAATTTCTGAAAACATTGAGAAAACATATCAAAACCGGGGATATCTAATATCTATCTTTCCTCTCTCAAACCAAAAAATAGAATGAGTAAAAGACTAGTATTGCTACATTTTCTTGCAATATTCCTCCATAAAACCGGCCCATCCCCTCCGTGTTTCGGTGGCGGTCCAGCACGAACATATCTAAACTTAGTGGTATACTTTTCCCCAATTACGAACGGAAATCCTCCACCGTTTTCTCTCATGTGCAATTTCTCTTTTGATTTGCGCTTTGACTCCATGAGAAACAGAATTGAACCTTCCTTGAATATCAAGTCCATCGTGAGCGTCGAAAATTGTATGCTCAACATATTATGTTCAAACCTTTCCATATAAAAACCTTGAGCCGATCAATTTTTGTTTTCTTCCCCATCAAATATGGGCCCAAAACGAGGCAATATGATGTGTACAATAGCAACAAAAGAGACGCAGAAAATCTGTTTTCTGCCTGGCATCTGCCAAATAACCTCTCCGAATTGATCGGAGTTGTACCAATCCACTACAGACTCACCTCGATGGCATCACTTTTACTTTGCCCATTTCAATTGGCTTTAAAAAAATTCAATACCGCATGTGCCAGATCATATTTTGGGAAGAATTGGTTGGAATCTCCGATGTGATAGCGATGCCAGAGCAATGTGGAGTGCGCAGCACTCTGGGATCGCAATGGAAGCGTAACAGCATTGTGGCCGCTGTGGCATCCAGCGAAGAAGCGAAGAAGGTAAGAGATAGGGCGCGTAGCAAAGGGGCGCATGTGGCACTGGTACGTATTACATACATGTATGTAACTAGCTGGCTTGGTAGAAGAGTGCAAGTGCAGGGGGATGTGTGCAGATAACGATGCTATGAGAATGATTGGGGGTTTGGAGCGTGTCGAGAGTACAGTAACTAGCAGATAAGTAACGGAACGGGGAGAAGAAAAGATAAGAAAAGGAAACTTGAGTCCGAGGGCTAGAGCGAGTACCATGGCAGGTGGCCTGTGTCCCGGACGTAACTCTTGGATCGCAATGAAAGTGTTACAGCATTGTTGCCGCTGTAGTGGCGAAAACCGATGTACCGCTCTAGTGGCGTACCGGATCACTTCAGGCTACCTCAACCTAGACCCCAATAGGCCTCATCCGTCCAAATCGAGTTGTGGCCTAAGAGGCCCTCCCAGGGTGGGTACGAACCACCTTGTGGGTATACCCACTTATCATGGGCATGCCCACCTTGGGTATACCCACCTATCATGGGCATGTCCACCATGGGTATACCCATGTGTCACATCACGGCCAGGTGGGCATGCCCACTCCTTCTGGCCCAGCTCGTTGTTGCGATTCTGGGGCCTGCGCAGGGCCCGTTTTGCGGCCCTTGCTGGCCCCAGGCCTTCTTCCCTTTACATAGCACCTATCTGCCCCCTCCACAGCCACTATACGCCTGCTGGCAGTGCCTGGTGCACCCAGTAGCAGCTTCTTCCCAGCTCGTTTTTGCGATTCTGGAGCCTGCACAGGGCCCGTTTTGCGGCCCTTGCTGGCCCCAGGCCTTCTTCCCTTTACATAGCACCTATCTGCCCCCTCCACAGCCACTATACGCCTGCTGGCGGTGCCTGGTGCACCCATTAGCAGCTTCTTCCCTTTACATAGCACCTATCTGTACACTCACTCCATTGCTACACTCTATTTTGCATTCTAAATCTACCATACATAAAGCCTATCTGTACACTCAGTGGCCACCTGGTGTCATCATACACTCTAAATGTACCATACATAAAACAATCTGCACACTCAGTGGCCAATGGGTGTCATGATACACTCTTTTTACATTCAACATGTAACTGTACATATGTGGGCCGTATGTAGGAAAGGCGAAGTGATCAGTCAGTGAACATGCTCACATAGAATATGGATATCTCCACATGGGCATGCCCACGGGATGGGCGTACCCATCTCATCATGGATATGTCCATGTCATGGGCATACCCACTACCCAATCGATGGGGATACCCATCTCACACACGGATATACCCACCGGTTTGTTTGGTTCCTACGTGGGCATTCCCACCTTACCGGTGGTTGTGCCCACATCAAAGTGGATATATCCACTGAGGAACCAAACAAAGATGTGGGTGTACCCACCTTTAGTCCAAATGACTTGTAATTTTGTTTTGTGTTGCTCTCTTACATGGGTAATCAATCTATTTTATAGCTCTAATACATTTCAAATGGTGATTTATTACTTATCCTGCCCCCATTGATCTTTTTCTCCCTGTGCTGTCTTCTTTCTTCTTTTATCCTCACTGAAATTTCCTTGTAATTTTTTTTTGTGTCTTTTACTTGGCTCATCAATACATTTTATAGCTCTAGTACATTTCAAATGGCAATTTATTCCTTTTCCTGCCCTCATTGCTATTTTGTCCCTGCACATTCTTATCTGTTCTTTACTTTTTTTGTGAAATTCCCTTTTTGGGACACTAGCGGTAGTGTTCCTTTTTTGGTCATTGCCCATTTTTTTTTCGCCCAAGTCATTTTCATTATTCAGGTAAAATGGCCCACCATCGATTCACTTCTAAATCCATTCAATGTTCCATTTCTTCCATGTTTCCCTTTTTATGTCACTTCGGCAAAACTTCCCGTTTCGTCCAAAAAAAAAAGAAAAAAGCACAAGTAAAAACAACAATATATCTCTCTCTATGTTACGTTTCCTTGAAAAATAAACGAGCACTACGACTCTTGCCTGCCCAAGCCCTTCAAAAAGGCCGAAAAAAAGCCGCAAAAAGACGGCTTGGCCCCGGATTGAACAGGGAACCTCTGCAAGGGTGTTCACGTATCTGGAGCCCAAGATTACACGGTGTGATACCGTTACACTACCAAGCCCATGCTCAGGGAAGAAGGCATTGGAATACCTGGGCCAAATTCCCTTTCACCCATTATTTCATGCTAGTCACTTGCATTATAAGTATTCATTGACTATTGAAAAAAATTGAACGCAAAAGAATGGCTTGGCCCCAAATTGAACGGGGAACCTCCGCAAGAGACTTGCACATATCTTGAACCAAAGACGTATGCAGCGTGATACCATTACACTACCAAGCCCATGCTAGGACATCTGGCATCGGAATACCATGCAATTTCTCACCATACCTACCTCCGAAAAAAAAAAAAACAATCAAGAAAGTCAGACAAAAAGAAAAAGAAAAATGAGAATCAGAAACGAAACATTTCTCGTACATGAAGAAAAATATGTTAACAATTTACAGCAAATCGTAAGGAATCTCATATCGATGGTACGGAGTCTTCACCCAGATATCATATTCCTTCATCATCACCTCTATCTGGGCGCTAACGTCCTCCAACTGAGTCTCATCCTCGAACGAGCTGCAAAGTTCATCGTATAAATCTTGTAGTGCTCTCATCCGGTCGGTGAGGAGGCGCTCGGCGGTTTTGCGGGACGGCTTGCGCCGCAGGTGGGTGACCCCTTCTGGGACCAGCTTGTAAGCATTCACTATTCAATAGTATTTGTTCGCCAGTCAGAGGCCAGACAAGACAACTCCACGCACCGACATGCAATTTGCACCCGTGTCTCTTTCGTCCACAGGCTACTGCGTCCTCGGGACAAGTGCACTACAAAACCAGTCAACCCCCCAATCATGCGAAACAAAACGAATAGCACGCACCGGAGGCTGCGCATTGGCGCCATTGCGCAACGGATTGTCCTCGGAATAAATATAACACGCCTTGCAGACGTCACAACCGGGACTTGGATGGAGTTTGCCCGCCAAATGGAAAGCCGGGCGGTAAGCACCATATCCCAGAGGTGCAATGAGCAACCCACAAGAACGGCAGGTGTCAGAGGGGAACTGCACCTCCGTGGTGCGCAGCAGCTGGGGCCTGGTCAACAGCATGGCCAGCAGGCCAGGGGAGCCGACGTCGTGACTCACCTTGATATCCCAGAGTGGTTCCACGACAGAATGAAGGTAGGGTTTACGTGGGGGAGACGTCTTGTGGCGTTCGGCAGGCATCATGCAGGGTGAGAGATGGGTCGGCTCCGTCAGTCAATTAAATAGGGCGCGCGAGGTTCTGCCACTTACTTGCTCATTGTTCGTTTTCCGCCTTTCGCCACCGAGTTCTCCCTTTTCGGCAATCTACTCTACCCATTGTTTCCCTGCGACCCGCCCCGCCGTTAGATGATTTGACGCCGGGGCGCACACCTTTAACCCCCTACACCGGCCTGCACGTCCACGTTTGGGGTGCCGCACGCCCTCGCCGTTTCGGGCGGCGTGCTGGCTTGTTTGCCCCCCCCCCCTCAAAAAAAAAAAACCGCACTCATCCCCCCACCAAAAAATATTAAAATGATAATAATAAACGGCGCCCGTCCCTTCTTTAGTGTCTCCACCTCTTTCTCGACCCAAGTCCATTAATTCACTGCGCAGAGGTAAAAATACGTGTACGCACCTAACATTTCCCCAAAAAAATTCCTCTGTTTCCCGAGTCGGGGATAGCTCGGCCCTGGATCGAATGGGGGTACCGTCCTGAAGACGGCGTGTCCAACCACACCGGGCTGTTGAACAACACACACACCAAAAGGTAGCACAAGAAAAATTGAAATTTACACAAAAACCATGTATACGACACCAAAAGGGAGCGTAATAAAAATTGAAAGTGACACAAAAACGAAGTACACAACACAAAAAGGGAGCACGAGAACTTGAAAGTTACCCAAAAACCAAGTAGATGGCATAAAAGAAAGAAGTACGGAATACACTAAGTGGTCTCATCCGTCCCCTCAACCGACCCTAACCAGCGTGTGACGAGACTGTGGTAGTTCTCCGCACTCTCCCCGTGGGACGGCGCTCTGCTCAGGCGGCGGCGCACCTCATCGAGGTCGAGGGCGATGGTGACTGGCGCAGGGGCCATGGGGGGCGCCTCCCCATTGTCGGACATCCCCTCCAGCCCGGGCAAGCTGCTGTGGGTGCTGAGAGTGTGGATGCTTGTCGCGGGGGTGCTAGACTCGCGAGGAGGGGTCGCGATCGAGATGCTGGTCTCATCGGACTCAGAGCCCTCCCAGCCGACGAGCGCCGACTCGTTGTCTTCGTTGGCGGCGTCGTAGTAGCCTTGAATACCAGGGCCCCAAGCTGCGACATGCTCAGCGAAAGTTCGATTCAAAATGGAGCAAGGACGCACAAATGATGATACCCGACTCCTTCACATTCAAAATGAGATCACCGCCCAGGATCGCGTGTTCCTGCACTGCGCAACATAAGTCCCCGTCCATGGCCAACGAGGGAGAAACTCACCGTAATGCATTGCACGCCTTCCCAGCCCCGCAGTAAACACCTCGTAGGCTGCAACAACCGACGGATGAGTGAGTTGTCTCAGGAGGTGAAGAAAATATGCACCTGTCTCAAAGTGCCTCTGCCAGGCGTCACCGCCAAGCTCAGACAGGACCTCGCGGAACTCCCGTTCTGACAATGCAGAATCAGCATAGGACGGCCTAAGAACGCAGACACAAACATACCGACTCTGTGTTCGGCCCAATATCGCAGCACCTTAGATGCCCGGGCGGCGGCTCTACGGACAACAACTTGGGTGTTCCGCCGCATCATTGCGCTATAGACCCTACGGTGGATCCCGGCATTGTGGAGATCGGCGGCCGAGAACTCCAGGGGTGAATTGTTGTTGAGGGGCAGGTACGGGTCCACGAGGTGAGGGGTACCTGGGGTAGGCCGGCCACAGTATTTGTCGAACCACCGCAGAGTCCCGTATGGTGGCGGGGGCGGGATGAAGAAGTCCGGCAAGCTGGACTGCTTGAGGGGGCGCACGACCGGGGTGGGGGGCTAGCCTGGTGCTCTGGACGGGGGAGGATGGGGCGGACGTCCACGTAGTCGAAGTATACAGTGATGCTGGCTTGGTATCTCATGATTAGAAGTAGAGCTTTGGATACGGACCGACGCACCTTTCTGGGCCCTTTATACTCCCCGACCCACGAACAATGCCCGCAGGTCGTTGCCCATTCAGGTAACCTGCAATTCCATTGTCAATACACATCGTGGTGATCGAGCCACACTCACTTGAATGCGGACACTTAGTTCTTCCGCTTCCTTCCGTTTTGGTATCAGCTAAGCGACGATCCCCAAGTTCAAAGCCACACACCGCCTTTTGACCCCCCTCCATTTTCCTGCACGTTTTGCGGGTTTTTTTGCCGTTGCTTGGTGTTACGAGTCTACGTACTCGGTTTTATTTGACTCTCTACTACCATGCTACCCTACGCCAACATCCTACGCGCCACAATTCTAGTACTACTCTGTATATAATATTACCGTGGTGGTGGTAAGAAGTCAAGTGCGAAATAGGCGCCGGCACCAAACAACACCACTGATACGGCGCCCGTTTCGGGTGCCCAACCAGATACGCACTCACTTGCCTCGCTCATACGCGTCCTCTGATAGTAAGATATCTATTAATCCTCGTCGGAGTCCCAGAATACGTCGTGGTCTTCTCCGACGTTGCCACCCTCGTTGCCGCCTCTGTGATTGTCCGCTCGCTCCACCGCCGCTATCACCTGGAACAAGTTGTCCTCCTCCTCCTCGGTTCCAGCATCCTCCTCGTCGTCCTCGGCCTGCTGTTCTTCACCATCGCCCCAGGACACGGTGACGGCGGAAATTTCGCAGCTGAGAAGGTCCTCCTTTGTTGGCCCCCATTCCGGTAGCAACGTGTTCTGGTCCATCCCAAGGCGATCCAGGGATTTCTTCCACAACACACAAAGCTGTAATAGCTCCTCGCGCCTGAGCTCGAATTGATACCGTACAGAGTCTGCCGTCGTGTCGTTGTAGGTCAGCCAGCCGTTGTTTTCCCCCCTCAAAAAGGCTCACGTACCTTCGTCACTCAGCGCAATTGCTTCGCATACGGTCTTCCACTCTCTCGCAAACCAGATCTGCAGATGCCCTCATTCCCGCAAAAGCCGAGGCTTCTCTTCTCTGCAACGGTCCTTCTGCAGCATCGCCCGGATTCCCGTTCAGACGTTGTCATCGCTGAGCCACAGAGGGCGTGCTGTGTCGTTGTTGTTGTCCTCGTCCAAGCCCACGTCCTGCCAGATGATGTTGTTGACGTCGAGCTTGTATAGACTCTTAGCCACTTGTGCAGGCGCAACAGCGCTGCGAGGCGCCTTCTTCGCCGCGATGAGCTTAGCTATGTCGTCACAGGATTTGTTGTAAGCAGTCATTAACTTGCTGATATTGGGGCCGTGCTGCTTGATCACCTGCCCAGCGTGCTCATTTCGTTGGTTCTCTGCGCAATGAATGCAGTAAGCTGGTGGCACATACATGGAGATAGTCCGTTGCGTACCGCTGGCCGTCTGCCGTATGGAGCGTTCGATCGGGTCGAGCTCAAACTTGCGGTCACAGAGTTTAGCCCGCAGTCTTTCCTTCAGCGCCTTTGCATTCATCCTGGCCGTGTAATATTCGCTATGCTCCAGTTTCTTGAGGGCAGTTGAATGGTTGACGCCAAGATCGCGCTCGAGCTGCGCGACCCTCTCCTTCTGCTGCTTCCATGCCTTCTGGGTATCGGCATGATTCATGTTGGCGTACAGGCGCTCGTCAGCGGGCGTCTTATCGTCCTGCAGAGCCTCTTCCATGCGCATCATTCGCTCGAATAGGAGGGTCACTTTACTGCGCGCCTCGAGGACTTGCTCGACGACTGCCAGCCCCCGAGTTTTGGAGCGCCCTACACAAAGCGTCAATAGAAGGAAGGACACAGCATGAAGAACAACCACGTACGCGCCAATGGCTTTGTTTGGACTGCGACTTGGTCCACCCACTGCGCTGGCAAGACATCCTCAGCCACTCCACATGTCTGTAGCTCTGCCACCACATCTTTCA